CCTCGACACCGATGCAACACAACACATGACGCACTCGGCGTCGCTCCTCAACAACGTCGGTGCTCCGGGAGACGTCAAGCGCGTCGTCTTCGGGAACGATAAATCGCAACCGGTGGTTGGAGTTGGGAGTACGCGTCTCATCGTCGATGGCGGGCCGGTGGACATCACGAACGTGCTTCACGTCCCGGGATTGAAGGTGAATCTACTCTCCGTCACTCAACTCGCAAAGAAAGACGTGAAGGTCACCATCGATGGCGCGAAGATGAACCTCTTTTGGAAGGGGAAGCAATTCGCGCAAGGCGTTCTCAACGGACAACTCTACCAACTCAAGACGCATCCGACAACGGCCTCATCCAACGTGGCGCAAGGCTCCAAGGCGACTCTCAAAATGTGGCATAATCGGCTTGCGCACGCCAACTACGACTCGGTCAAAGAGTTGGCCAACAAAGGACTTGCGAAGGGATTTGACGTGATCGCCGGCAACGACGAGAAGGGCGTGTGCGCGGCGTGTGTCGAAGGAAAAATGGCTCGCAAGCCATTTGGTAGCCGTACTTCACCCCTCGCAAAGGACCCGCTTGCGCTTGTTCACATGGACGTGTGTGGACCGATGCGGCATGCATCAAAGGGAGGAGCGCGGTTCCTCTTAGTGATGCTCGACGACGCGACGCGGATGAGTTGGACCCGACTCTTGAAGGCTAAGGGAGATGCGGCCAAGGCGATTCAAGAGTGGGCGCTCGACGTTTGCGACGACGGCAAGAAGCGGATCAAGTGCATTCGCACCGACGGTGGCGGCGAATTCGTGAGCAACGAGCTTGAAAAATGGATGAAAAGCAAGGGCATTAAGCACGATGTCACGACACCCTACACACCCCAACAAAATGGAGCGGTAGAGCGGCTCAATCGCACATTGATGGAGGCCGTTCGTTCACTTCTTCAACACTCCAAGCTTGGGAACGAGTGGTGGGGAGAGGCGAGTGCGCTAGCGGCATGGATTCGTAATCGTGTGCCAACAAAGGTGCTACCGGGAACGACTCCGTTCGAAGCATGGACCGGAACGAAGCCGAACCTATACCGCCTACGCACCTTTGGGTGCCTTTGCTACTACCATGTACCGGATCCACTTCGCCACAAGTTGCAACCGAAAGCTCGTGCGGCGATCTACTTGGGGATTGCGGCGAACGAGCGTGCATGGCGAGTGTGGGATTTGGATGAAAAACGCGTCGTCACGTCTCGGGATGTGATCTTCGACGAAGACAAGTTCCCGACAAAGGAGAAACAAACGCCGCAACTCACCGTCGTCCTTCCCGCACGAGAGGAGGATGAAGCGGTGGAGGTTTCACCGCACGTGAAGAAGGGAGCCGAAAGTGGAGGGGGAGAGAACGAGGAGTGCGATGATGATGTCGAGGAGGTGCCACCAACCGAGGAGGCCACTTCCTCCGCACCTTCTTCCCTACCATTGGCGTTGACTCGCGGGCGTCGTACACCTCGCCCCAACACGAGGTTAACCGACTATGCTACGGTCGCCGTTGGGGAGTCGGATGAGGAGAGTGCGGCGATTTGCCTAGCGACCATCGGCGACGATAACCCACGCACTCACAAGGAGGCTTTGGCTTCCCCGGATGCACCGCTATGGAAGCAAGCGATGGAGAGGGAGTTAGCATCGATCAAGGAGAACGATGTTTTCGAGCTCGTCGACCCGCCGAAGGGTGCCTACTTGGTGGGATGCAAGTGGGTGCTTAGGAAGAAATTGGGAGCCGATGGAGGTGTCGAACGCTACAAGGCGCGGCTTGTGGCGCAAGGGTACACTCAACGGGAGGGGGAGCACTATAGTGAGACCTTCGCTCCCGTTTCGAAGGCCTCCACTCTTCGGGTGTTGCTCGCGCTAGCGGCATCTCTCAACCTCGAGGTGGAACAATTGGACGTTTGCACCGCCTTCCTCTACGGGCTTCTCATGGAATAAGTCTACATGCGGCAACCCCCGGGGTACGATGATGGTAGCGGTCGGGTGTGGAAGCTCAAGCGTACCCTCTATGGCTTGAAGCAAAGCCCACGCGGATGGTACAAGCGCATCGACGACTTTCTTCTTCAACACGGCTTCGCGCGTAGCGTGTGTGATAGCGCTTTGTACGTGTTGAAGGAGGGGGAGAAGCAATTGGTGCTTTTGCTCTACGTCGATGACCTCCTTCTTTTCTCCGACTCCAAAGACCTCATTCGAGAGGTCAAGCAACGGCTAGGGGCGGAGTTTGCCATGAGGGACTTGGGACCGGTGACGTACTACCTCGGGATGCACGTCGACCGCGACCGCGCGAACGGGACCATTCACCTCCACCAAGAAAAATATGTGAAAGGGGTTGTGGAGCGCTTCGGCATGGGTAATAGCAACCCGGTGGGGACGCCACTAGACACGGGATTTTCTTGCCTCCCGGGAGAGGAAGAATCCGCCCTCGACGAAGCCGAAGGGAAGCGGTTTCATTCGCTAGTCGGCTCACTCATGTATGCCGCCGTTTCCACCCGTCCCGACCTCTCATACGCCACCGGGGTACTTGGACGAGCCGTAAGCAACCCTCATACCGAGCATGTGCGTGCGGGAGGACGTGTTCTACGCTACCTCCAAGGCACACCCAACTTGGGAATCGTATATGAAGCCGGTCCAATCGTGCTTAAGGGCTACACCGACTCGGATTATGCCGGTGATCAAAGCAAGCGCAAGAGTACCGGCGGGTACGTCTTCACCTTGCTTGGGGGAGCCGTGAGTTGGCAAAGCAAGTTGCAACCAACCGTGGCTCTAAGCACAACGGAAGCGGAGTATATGGCACTCACTCAAGGAGCCATGGAGGCAATATGGCTACGGCGCCTTCTAGCGGAGCTTGGGCATCCTCAAGCCGACCCAACTCCTCTCTTTTGTGACAACCAAGCGGCCATAAACCTCACTCACAATGCCGTCCTTCACGGGCGTACCAAGCACATTGAGGTGAAGCATCACTTCATTCGTGAGGTGGTCGAGAGAGGTGAGGTCAAGGTCACATACATAAGCACCAAGGCGCAACCCGCGGATTTCCTCACTAAACCACTCCCTAAGGATTCATTCCGTGCATGCCGTGAGCGTGTTGGTATGAACACCTAGTGGCTTGGGTGCAAGGGGGAGTGTTGGAAGGAAACGGTGGTGGGGCGGTGGTATGCCCCCAACCCACCGAGGGCACTTCGGTGCCTTCGATCCCTTTGACTAGGGATCGGTGGGGTGGCACCGATTGACTTCGGGAGACTCACCCTTCGGTGCCACGTGGCGGCACCACATTCCAACCTTCAAGTGCAAGGCGAATTCGGTGTGTTCGGTGTGAAATTCGGTGGTCGAATTTCACCCCAACCGAAATGTTACACGCGGCGCATTCGCGACGCGAGTGTAGCGATGTGATGTTACATGTGCGGTTCGATGTAATGCATTTGCTATAAATCGACCTGCCTTGTATGCATGCTTTATACTGAAATCCTGAATCTTCTTGTACATGGTCCATTCGAACCAAAATTCCAGAGAGGTCTATCCTTGCTTCTAAGAGCACTAGCAATCACGTGAACGCCAATATCTCGGCGTATACTTGGGCGATTAACGTGTTTGACGGCTTGTTGGAAAGCCAAGACTGTGCTCTATCGTTTAGTGCAACTTAGAGTTCCTGCAAAGTAGAGGAGACGCCTCTACAACACAATCCACGTCGCCCATGCGACGAGCGACGCCTACACGACTGTCGCCCGCGTCGCATTCTCTCGCAACGGTGCTCCTCGCGCTGCCTCTCCTCCTCATCGTCTCCCTGGCGGTTCTTTCCGCCACGTTCCCCCTTTCGTGGACTTCCGCCAGATATGTCTTCCGCAGACCCGCCGCGGAAATCCGCGCAGCAGTCGGCGGAACTTCAACTAGGGGAAAGCGCAACAGACGCTGATCCTGTAGCGGTGGGGGCAGCAGCGGCGGGCAACGCGGCGAGTAAAGCGACGGCCAATGCGGCGGCCAAAGCGGCGGAGTATGCAGCGGGCAATGCGGCGGGCAGAACGGGGCTTGCGCTTGACGCCCCGGTGCGCCGACCGTGGGCGACAGCCCACATCATGCGACGAAGCCTGCGATCTCTCGCGGAGGTTTTCTCTTCACGAAGGGCTCGGCGATCCCTCACCGCGAATTTCCCTTTGATCGACGTTCTTAAAACAGTCATGCAGAAAACCGCTCCTTCCTCTGGAATCTCCACAACCGCAACTAAGTCCCCACCCAAACCGCCGCAGAGTCGTAAGTTTACTAAAAGTCCGAAGGCGCCCAAAAGCCCTCCCAAACCACCAAAATCTCCTAAACTCCCGAAATCTCCTAAACTCCCGAAGTCTCCTAAACTACCCAAGTCGCCTAAGAGCCCCAAAGCTCCCAAGTCTCCCCCGAAATCCCCCAAATCCCCCAAACTCCCGAAACTCCCGCCCAATTCCCCGCCAACAATACCGAATCCTCCCCCAGGGGGAGCTTCCGCTCCACCTTCGACTTCCCCTCCGCTCGGTTCGATCAGGGGAGAAGAGGCCCCGTCATTCGGGGTTTCCGCTCCGCCTTTCACCTCCCCGCCCTTTCCGCCTGTTCCGCGAAGCCCGCCGCCCGGAGCGCCGCAAAATTCGCCGCCTCCTGGAGCGCCGGGGAACGTGCCGGGGAACGTGCCGTTGCCTGCGGCGGGGAAGGATTTCAGCGTGGTAGCGTACGGCGCGAAGGGCGACGGAAAGACGGACAACACGAACGCGTTCCTCCGGGCGTTCGCCGCCGCTTGCGCGTGGACTGCGGACGCGGGCACGGGGAATGGCACGGGAGAGGGCGCGGGGGAGGATTTGGGGGTGGGCGCGGGGGCAGGGGGAGGGGGTGTTGCGCGGATGGTCGTTCCTGCTGAAGGGAAGTTCCTGATTTACCCCATGTATTTGAAGGGGCCTTGCAGGACCGGACTACAATTTGTGGTGAGTGCAACACTGATTCCGCCCTGTTCTCTCCTAGCCTAGTTGCTGCCCTTTCCTCCTCCCCTCCCTCCCACCACCCCACTTCCCCGCTTCACCGCCATCTGTGCCCCCATTTCACTCTCCCGTCCGCCTCCTTTCCCCTTACTCTTCTCTCGCATTCCCTCTTTGTCCTCCCATTCCCTCTCGACTTTCCCCCATTCCCAATCCCAAGGTCAATGGCATCATCACAGGCGCCGCTGACGTCAGCAGCTATCCAAAACCTGCGAAGCCGAGCTCGTGGGCTCTGCTTCTGTTCAACCGGATATCGAATCTGGAGATTTTGGGCGGCGGAGTGATGGACGGTGCGGGGCAGGGATTCTGGAAGTTTCCCGGGCAGCAGCGGCCGGCGCTTCTGTCGATCACAAATTGCGAAGGGATGACGATTCGCGATATGCTGTTCACATAAGGACGTGTACTCAATCCTTTTTGCGTACACTTTGTGCTATATGCACCAATTATTTTCATGCTTACATATTTGTGTCCACTTGTTTACGTGTTCACCCCTTGATATGCTTGTATAGAGGTAATCTAAGAACTGCCTCTTGTTCTGTTCTTCCCCCCTCCATAATTCCCTGCAGCAATCCTGCACGGCAACATGTGAAGGTGTACGGAACGACCAACGTGCTTCTAGAGAGGGTTGCGACGCTCTCCCCCTATAACAGCCCCAACACCGACAGCATTCTCTTTAGCGGGGTGGTGAACGGCATTGTGCGCAACAGCAGACTGGAAGGAGGTGAGCATGAAGAAAGGTTGATGGGTGGAACGGAGGAGGTGGATTAAAAAGGGAGGAGGTGAGAGGAAAGGAGGTGTAAGAAAGGGAAGAGGTGAGAGGAAAGGAGGTGTAAGAAAGGGAGGAGGTGAGAGGAAAGGAGGTGTAAGAAAGGGAGGAGGTGAGAGGAAAGGAGGTGTAAGAAAGGGAGGAGGTGAGAGGAAAGGAGGTGTAAGAAAGGGAGGAGGTGAGAGGAAAGGAGGTGTAAGAAAGGGAGGAGGTGAGGAAAGGAGGTGTAAGAAAGGGAGGAGGTGAGAGGAAAGGAGGAGGCGAGAAGGGAGAGTTGAGACGGCAACATGACCCTTGTTACATTGTAACCGCCATGCTAGTGACCGAAACATCTGGCCCATTGTCGGTCATCCCCTCTCTGTGTTTCCACAAACCCCCCTCCCCCTCCCCCTCCCCCGCCCCCCCCCTCCTCCTCCCCCCCCTCCCATCCAGGTGACGACAATGTTGCCATCATTACCGGGTGCCGAATTATTCCCCTCATCGGCCTCATTGCCTCATCATCATCTCCTGTCTGTGTCTGTCTGCTCTCACAACCACCCCCGCCCAGGTGACGACAATGTTGCCATCATTACCGGGTGCCGGAACATCCTTATAGAGAATACGCAGTGTATCAATGGGCACGGCATAAGGTATGATTGCACAACCATGTATGATAGGTAATTGAAGAGGCTGCATTGTCATGTATGTAGGTCATTCTGACGATGTAGATTGTCTTGAGCCTCGCTCCAGTTTCCACTATATCCCCCTCCCCTGTTTCCGCATTCCAACAACTCTCCTCCCCTTCTCCATCCCTCTATCCGATTTCTCCCACTATAATCTTCCCCCAGCATCGGCAGCCTGGGCGGTGACGGGGAGTTGGGGTGCGTATCTGACGTGACAGTAAGGAACGTGAGCTTACGTGGTTCCAACAACGGCCTCCGAATCAAAACCTACCAACAAGGAGTGGGTCTTGTGAGCAACGTGACATACGAGGATGTAACCGTAACCGACGTTACATGGCCGATTCTCATCAACCAATTCTATTGCGACAAGAAGACGGCTTCGGCCAGTAGCTGCCAGCTCAGCAGCACGGCTGTAGCGGTTACCAACATTCGTTATAAGAACATCCACGGCACGGCGAACGGCACGGTTGGCGTGCTTCTGAACTGCAGCCAATCGGTGCCTTGCTCTGGGATATCATTTTCGAACATCTACCTCACCTCCTCCCGCAAACCCAAGCCACCAAATCAGCTGCTCAGCACTACTTTAAAGGAGAACAGGGTCGGAGTCAACTCAGTCAATGGAGTCAACGGGGCTGATCCAGACTCTCTAGCGCTTCTGAACCAGGAAACGCAAGTCAACAGAGTCAACAAGGGGGTAGGACCAGTCAACGGAGTCAACAAAGGTGCAGCACCAGTCAACGGAGTCAACGGGGCTGGACCAGACTCTATAGAGCTGCTGAACCAGGAGACTCAAGTCAACGGAGTCAACAAGGGGGTAGCACCAGTCAAGGGAGTCAACCCTCTTGCGGCGCTGTTTGGAATCGGCACCACCACCACCACCACCACCACCACCACCACCACCACCACCACCACCAGCAATCCCAGCAGCACTTCTGCTACTCAGAAAGCTGTTGGAGCCTCGGCACTATCGGATCTATCGGGATCAGATCTGATTGCGGTGTTGAACAATGCATATGGGGCCACGGATGTTAAGACGGTGTCGGTGTTCCTAGCAGAGGCAAAGTGGGAGGGTGCCTCACCCCCTGCTGCAGCGAAAGCAGCCATCAGCAGCATGGCAGCGAAGTGCATGTGAGTGCTGCCGTGTGGGGGTGACAAGAGGGGGGGGGGAGGTTGTGTGTGAGTATGTGTAGGTGTGGGCTTGGGCGTGGGTGTGTGGGAGTGGGTGTGTTTCGGGTGGGAGTGGGTTGAGCAACGCATATGGAACCACGGATGTTAAGACGGTGTTGGTGTTTCTAGCGGAGGCGCAGTGGGAGGGTGCGACGCCCCCTGCTGCAGCAAAAGCAGCCATCAGCAGCATGGCAGCGAAATGCATGTGAGTGATGTGTGTGTGGGTGTGTATGGGAGGGGTGTGTGGGTATGGAACCACAGATGTGAAGTCAGTGTCGGTGTTTCTAGCGGAGGCAAAGTGGGACGGTGCGACCCCCCCTGCTGCAGCTACAGCAGCCACCAGCAGCATGGCAGCGAAATGCATGTTAGTGATGCGTGTGTGTATACGGGAAGGGGGGGGTGGGGGGATGGGTGGAACCACGGATGCACACTTTATGACGGTGGGTGGGGGGTGTATGTGAGTGCCGCCGTATGTGGGTGGGGGGTGTATGTGAGTGCTGCTGGTGTTTGCCTCGCCTCCTGCTGCAGCGACAGCAGCCCCAGCAGGATGGCTGTGAAGTGCATGTGAGTGCCCCTGTATGTGGGGGTGGGGGAATGCACATAGTTTGGGTGTGTGTTTGTTTCATGTCAACTCAACTACTACCTACTGTAGCACGAGCAGCCATCAGCAGCTAGGCTGGGAATTGCATGTGAGTGACGTGTGTGTGTGGGAAAGGGGGAAGAGGGGGAGAGGTTTGGCTGCATGCTTGCATACGTGGTTCATATTGCATTTCATACCGTATAATGTTCGTCTGGTTAAAACCCGTCTAACGAGTATTTCTGTACCTATTTTGTTTGTTCTGTTGATTTTTTGCAGACAAACACCCATTTCATTGAAGTCAGCTTTGGCAGCCAGTGATGCTGGAGTTCACTCATCCAATTCAGTTAGATCATTAATCACACCGTGATGATATTGTATTCTATGTTGCGATATGCTCCAACGTAGTCACGTAGTAAGATGTAGAATTAGTTTGCTTGTCATGCAATAAAACAAAAATTAGCAGACTTTGCAGACGTACATTCAAATGAGAGGGATTAGTAGTCTCAACTTCTACTGGTACTGTTGGCAAAATATATAGTCTTTAGTAAGAATGTAAGTCTGTGCATGAGGTTTAAAACGGGGATAACGAGACTGCACCTCAATGCACCGAAATGCTTTACCGAAACATTGGTCACTTCGGAGCGCGTGACAAGAACCAAACCGTGAAAACAGACTAGGCCAGGTTCAGGTAGCCTCGAGATGAGTGTGGCAATCTCGAGCCTTGTCCGAACCTAGCCGCCCCTCCTGCCTCGGAGTACAGTTCGGTGACTGCTCCCTTTTCCTTTTGAGCCAGTCGAGTTGAGTTCAGGAGATTAATTTCTGATGGCCAAGCGATGTAGCTTCTTCGAACAGACCTAAGGCCCACGCGCTTCGAAGTGATGTTCAGTTCACAAGCGATATTTTCGTAACCAGCTTCAGTGAAGCAGAAGGTGGTCAAAACGAGAGCTAAAACGAGGAGCGCGTTGCGAAGAGAACAACGAATCGACATTCGATCCGAACTGATGATGTCTTAGACTGATGATCCGAGGTTTCGCAGTCTACGCCATTCCCGAAAGCTGTCATCTCGCCGCGAAAAGCGGCTCCTTTACTAATTACGTTCCATTTTCGACATTTCAGGATGGTCCTGCCACTTGCGATTCTCCTCTTATCCGCGATCTCCATTTCCTCGGATCCCACTCACACGAATCACGTCACACAGCTTCCTGGCAACGCGCAACAAGGGCTCCATCTATCCAGCCGGCTAGCCGTTCCTCGTGCCGCTCCGTCAGCACCCGACGGCACGAAAGATTCCCGTGATCGCCGCGTACTTTCCGTTGAAAATTTGCAGATCATGCAGCCTCGGGGTCGTCGCCAGGTTACGGCTCCTTCCCCCGCGCTCCCTCCCTTGCCCCCACCAGTCTCGGGACTCTTGCCCCTTCCGATCGCGCTCCCTCCCCCTCCGCCATGGCCAATCAACGAAGAGGGCGTCTTCAACGTGCTACAGTTTGGGGCGCGCGCGGACGGGCGCACGGACAACACGGACGCGTTTCGGCGCGCGCTGCAGACCGCGTGCGCGTGGGGGGACGCGCAGAGCGCGTACGCGCGCGTGGTGGTCCCCGCGGGCGGGCTGTTCCAAACCTTCCCCGTCGAGCTGGAGGGGCCGTGCGGCGCTGGCTTGGAGGTGCAGGTGGGTGCTAAGCGGTGTGGAGGTGTGCGTGGTGGGATAGGATGGCATTATGTAGCGGGCTGTTCCAGGTCTTCCCCGTTGACCTGGAGGGGCCGTGCGGCGCGGGGCTGGAGGTGCAGGTGGGTGCGGAGAAAAATAAGGTGAATTTGGAGGAAATTCGGGGTCAACTTTGGGAAAAAATGGGAGACGATGGAGGAGAGAGGGGGGGGTGGGGGGGGGGGGGGTGGGGGGGGAGGGGGAATGGTGTAAAAAATATGTGTCGGGAGAAGTTTGGGGACATTTGTTAGGGTTGGTTCGCCCAACCACGGAACCTACGGTGAAATGCGGAATGGCGGCGGAATGGAGCTCGTGGGAGATTCTAGAGTGATTTCGGTAGAAATCGGCCTACGGTGGACGTTGGAAGCTAAGGCGTGAAAAGCGGGAGAGAAATCGGGAAGAAACTGGAGAAATGAAGGAAGAAGAGTGGAGAAGAATCGAGAATGAGTTCGACGGGGGAAAATGTGGTTCGAGACCAAGGCGTGTTCGAGAAATTTCCAGATTCGGGCTCAAGGAGTGTTCGGTGAATTCGGTTCGGTTGCGTGTGCGACTCGGGGTGAAACGAGGCGCACGCGGTTACTTGGGAAACAAGTGAAGTTACGAATCGCATTTTGTACCTTGGTTGACTATAAAACTGCTTGTACTCATTCTGGAAAACACAACATTGAAACCATTGAGATTCTGAAAATTGCTGAAGTGTGTATTGACAACTTCAAGCAGAGCTGCGCATATCGTTGGATTCGTGAGATCGTGGAGAACACGATAAGCAATAGCAAGTAGACTATTGCCGACTAAGGTGCTTACGATCCTAAGAACATTTGCGGTAAGGGGTAAAATGTGGGGAGTATTGGGGAAAATTGTGGGCTAAGTATGGACCTTTCCCATCAACCTGGAGGGGCCGTGTTGTGCGCCAAGCCAACGTCCTGTTTTACCCCAAGCCCCTTTCCTTCGCCTCCGTCTGCACCCCCCCCTTGTTCCTCTGCTCGCTCACATCACACAACATGTCAACGTAGGCATCGCCCGCATGACCCGGCCAGCCAACGTGACGTCGTACCCCAAGCAAGCAGTGCAACAACCCATCCCCACTGCCCTTCCGGGTTGACTTTTGAGTCAACTCTTCTGAGTCGACTCAAAGGTCAACTCTTTTGAGTAAACTCAAAAGTCAACTCTTCTGAGTCAACTCAAAAGTCAACTCTTCTGAGTCAACTCAAAAGTCAACTCTTCTGAGTC